ATATATACATTTACATACAAACATATATATATATATACATACACACATACATACATACATACATTCAAGTGTTTATGTTAAAATAAACTGTGCATGTATGTATAAGATAGACCCACCTCACGATATTCTGGTGTTTGAGTTCCATTAAAGTGGAGACCTCACGGATAGCTGTTGAGGGCACACCCTCGTCGTCACCTTCCAATCTGATCCGTTTAAGCGCCACCACCTCGCCTGTCAGCCAATCAGAACAGTCGAAAGTTAAAACACATTACCTACATAGTCGGGAGGTTGTAGGTGTGTGTCCATGCACTGAGACTAGTACTACGTATATACGACCTTGTGCTGCTTATCAGTACTACTGTGTGTGTTGGCGTTCCCTGGGTGTGCAAATGTAGTACCAGGGACGTGTATGAAGTAGGTAGTACTGTGTGTGTCTGTGGCAAACGTGCGTGTGCGAGGGATATACATCTATTGTGTGTCTGTGGTTGTACTCTGTGTGTCTGTGGTTGTACTCTGTGTTTCGTGTGAGCTTAAATGCGCTGTGCATGAATATCGCTTAATACATGTTATATGGACATGTCGTGTGACAGAGTGTGGTTGTACCGTGTGGTATGATGTGGATACCATCTGTCATATACAATCGCGTATCTTTCCCTTAGACAACTGTGTGGTGTGTATTTGTTGATGTGTGGTGTGTGTTTGTTGACGTGTGGTGTGTGTTTGTTGCTGTGTGTGTTGCTGTGTGGTATAAGCCTACGCTTGACCTGCACAACTACCTCCGTATGCGTGTGTCGTGTGTTACACAGACTAGTACACTCATGGGCTTGAAAGTGCTTCTCATAGGCATGTTGTGTTGTGTATTGAGATGATTCTGTGGGGAGCTACAGTAGTTGTGCCGTGTATGGTATTGATAGTGTCTTCCATGCACACTCGCGTGGATGATACTATGATCCTTGTGTAGCATATCCCTGTTGCTATAGTGTGCAGTACTACGCTTGACCTGTATATGTATAAAAACATGTGTGTGTGGTGTGGGATATGATTTGAGGTTCCTCTGAGTGTAAATGCGGCCTATACAAACACCACACGTGTTGTGAAATGTGTGGCGTGTATGATACCTATTCCATGCCTATGCACACAGGCGAGTTCTATACGCATACTGTTGTGTGATGTATGCCTATGGCTGTAATGTACACGACTGCTTGCACCCCTCGAATAGAATAGAAGCATCGCATATTATGCGTGACTATCCTATATAATACTGCAGCTGTGTTGTGAGGATGTTGTATGTTTGTAGGTATGAGTTTCGGGCGGCTATAGCATACTTGGCACAGTGGAGATCCAGACACTAGCTGCGCTCCGTGACTTTTGCACCGCACATATACATAAGCACATATACAAGACACACACACACATATATATATATATAATATATATATATATATATATATATTCACTCTTGTGTCTCCTTAAAAAACACTTGCATATAACGGCTATGCGCGTGTCCAAAGTGATGACATCACTGTGTGACACGGCCTGTATGGGATACTGTATTGTAAATTTAACCCCTCTTGTTGTGATTGTATCGTGCGACAGCATTGTATTGCTTGCAGTATTTACGCTCAGTCTAGAGACAGTCTTTGTCTATTGGTATTACACTGCACTACCTGTAGTGTTATGTCAAACCTATGTACACTGCTTGTACGTTTATGCTCAGCTTTTTACACCATATTCTTCTGTAGGTTAGACATTGCAATACCTGTATGCTTATGCTTCGCTTCGTGAACAGCAACCGTCTGTTGGGCTATATACAAATCGTACACGGAACATTGCATCCTCTGTATTTATGTTGTGTCTGTGTACATTACCATATACCGAATACTGAACTATATACAAACCATACATGCTTCGTTTACCTGTAGTTTTATGCTTAGCCTTGTATACAACACCGTAGGTGCCTGAGCCGATCTTCTCCAATCGCTTGTACGTGTCTGTCGCAGAAGTCATCATCGCGGCTGAAATTTATTTTGCTCTAAAAGACGATTATGTGCGTGTTTGTGTGGTTGAGAGGATTGAATACACTAACGTATGAGATTATAGGTATGTTGCATTAGCGGTTATGCTTTAGGTAGAGTTCGACAGGGCAGTA